ATTATTATTATTATTATTATTATTATTATTATTATTATTATTATTATAATATTTTAATTTTAATTTTAATTTTAATTTTAATTTTAATTTTTAAATACTTGTGGTGTGATTGTGATGTGGTGTTTGGGGCACTGTGCTGGAATAGTTTTCAAATTTCATTGTATTCATGGAATGCAATGACAATAAAGGTAAAATTCTAAATTCTATATGACTCTGGATGGTTCATAAACAATAAAAAATATATTAAAATGATTTAAGAACAATAAAAACAATATAAAGCAATATAAAAATTATACATCAAAATCTAAAGTCACCCCAGATGGCTTTACTTCCCAGTCTTTCTTCTTCCTGACACTGACTGACCATTGGGGCTTCCCCTGGTCACCACAGGCTCCTGCCTCTCCCAGCCATTCAGGGAGGTCCACTCTGGCATGGGGTCTCACTGACGCTTCCCACGAAGCCTTGACTTCCTCCTGGTCACCAAAATCATGTGCATAGTCCCCATGGTAGAGATGTCTTTTCGGGTTGACCACTATTGCAGTTCTAGCCTAATGTCAGACCTTCCCCAGTCAGATCCCTTAGGAAAGAAAGACCCTCGATTCCAATTGTTTAAAGGCTTTTTTTTTTTTTAACTAAAGGTTGCTGGCTGTAGTAGAACTAAAGTTCCCACACAAAACATTACAAACATTTCCCTTCATCCTGGCCCTCCCCACTTGATCAGCTTGTCTCTGATCAATGGATAACTGCATAGGTGTTTTGAGAATTGCTTGGCAATCCACATTCCATTCCCAGGCTTCATGGCCTTGAAAACTGTTCCAGGCTGGTTTTATGCACCTCTGGTCTCCATCAAGCTGCCTCCAAACCTGATTTTAAAATCTTTAAAATAAATACATAATCCTAGGTACATTGACCTGAACAATAGAAAAAGTGGTATCAGTATAGTAAATATTGCAGAGACGGGTATTAGATTAGATTTTGTCACTGGTTGATCTGGACTGGATTTTTAGTTCAGATTAACAATGCCATAAAGGTAAAGTTTCCCCTCGCAAATACATGCTAGTCATTTCCAGCTCTAGAGGTTAGTGCTCATTTCCATTACAAAGCCGAAGAGCCAGCGCTGTCCGAAGACGTCTATGTGGTCATGTGGCCGGCATGTCTAAACGCCGAAGGTGCACTGAACACTGTTACCTTCCCACCAAAGTGGTCCTATTTTTCTACTTGTATTTTTACATGCTTTCGAACTGCTAGGTTGGCAGAAGCTGGGACAAGTAACAGGAGCTCACTCCGTTACATGGTGCTAGGGATTCGAACTGCTGAACTGCCGACCTTTCTGATTGACAAGCTTAGTGTCTTAGTCACTGAGCCACCGCATCCCTAACAATGCCATATACTATACTAAAACCCAGTTTTAACAGTCAAATCTGATCTAATTTCCTTTAACAATAAGTGGATTCTCCTTTTTTAAAAACATGTTTTCTTTCTTTCCTTTTTATAGCATTATTATCTTCTAAGGGGTGATGTTGGGTTGAACAAAGAACTGGATAATACATTTCTGTTTGGACTTAATTGCTCAAATCAAGCAAATTACAACCCTTATCATGGAGGAAGTCCAGAAATGACTCTATAGTTTAAGAAGCCTTGTGGAATAAGATACAACTTTCAAACACAGTATTTTTCAGAAAGGCCATTGGGAAAGTATAGATTTCAACAGATCCATGACTTCCTCAAATGCTATTTTCAGGTCGCTTTTGGAAATTAAACATTAGGCTTAGCAGCATCTAATTCATGTTTGATTAAAGGGACTATCACACTCCATAAAGCTTAGATTTTGCACTTTGAGTCTAGAAATAGTATTTGCCTGGGTGGGCCAGGTGAACCATTCTGAACCTAGGGTTGCCTTGTGCTCCTTAACTCTCTGCTGAGAATTAGGAATCATGCTTGCATCCCAGACCATTTTTACTTTGGGGATAATTCTTTGCCTTGTTATTGGTCTTCCAAATTCTAGTCCTTTGAATAGATAGGTTTTCCATAAGTGAAAAGAGACCCCTAGGAGGCAACTGCTTGGGATGGATACAACAAAATGAAAAAAAAAAAAGCAAAATAAAATATACAAAAACCAAGCCCAGTCACCTTGCCTAAATGATGGGAAAAAGATTCACCAGAAGTTTCTGCCTTGAAATGCAAGGAGATTTGCCTAAAGGAGACAAACACTTGGGGAGAGATTAATGTCTGCTGAGAAAATTTTTGTGTGTGTGGGAGTGGCAATTTTATCTGCATCCAATACTTCTTGCCAGTGACTCATTAAGAGGACCCAAACACACACCTGAACAGGAAAGGAACAACAGGTACTCTTCCAGTACCTGTTGGAAATTGTACTTTAAATTGAGCTTAGTCATTGCCATTAATCACCATCAGTCAGGCTATGAAGTATAATTTTCCTTATGACTATGTACAAATTCATGTCTTGTACAGAGCACCCTATACATTAGGGCCTCTTCTTCCAAATGTGCATTCCATATAGAATAATTAGGAATTGGAGAGTCTGCTCCTTCGTGTTTTTCATAAATGTGATTGTCAGCCTTCAAGATTTTCTCCCTTTGCTTTGCATCTTTCGGCTGTCATAAGTAACGGGGGGAGGAGGGGGGATTGGGTTATGGGAAGTGAGCTGGAGGTTTTACAAAACAGTAATGTATAAACTGGGGGGGGGGGCGGGTAGATTCTTGTTTAGGCTTCTATCCTATGCTATGCGCAGCTACAACTCTTTATCAAAATATGTCAAGGTCAATGGACAGAGGCCTCATCACCACCTGGAGATGTCCACATGATGATATACACAACTTTTATTTGGATGAGCCAATTGAACTATTGGGGGTGGGAACGTTGCCATCACTTTGTATATGTGATTTGTGCGCCCATTTTCTCAGATTCAGAATTCTTTTGTTGCTACCACTTGATTTCCAGTAAAAGATATCTTTTCTCTGATTAAAGGAGTCTAAGTATTTCTTTCTTGGATTTTGAATGGAGCACCAGCTGACATTATTCTGAATCTCCACATTACCAGCCCACCCGGAGAATTAATAAATTTTCTTCCAAGGGGGTCTGAACACAATGTCAAATCCAGCCAGCGACCAAGAAGACCTGGGAGCGACTGGAGGACAAGATTCCCTGCTGTTAGAGGCAGCAGGGGAAGCCAACTTGTTAGCAGAATTAAATTTTGGCAAAAAACCAGCTGTAAAACCCAAATGGTCCCTGGGAGTTGGTTGGAAGGATCCTGAGGAAAAGCCTCTTCCAGGAGTGACCACTACCCATCAGCATGGAAGAGAGGAGCCATGGCAAGAGAAGGAAAGAAAGAATTTTTTACTAACTCAAGCCATGCATCTTCTAAATAAAGCTATTGGAGAACCTCAAACTGATCAAAGGTATGAGGGAGAGGAGGGGGAGTCAGCCCCAGCCAGAAGAATCAGAGCAGCCACCCCCATAAATCAACCTGGGCTAGCGCAACAGGCAGCAGCATCCCAGATGCCCCCAGCGTGGGGTGTAACTGCCAGAAGACATAGAACTCCAAAGGTGCCTCCGTTGGAAGTAACATATGGGGGGATCCCAAGGAGTTAGGATTCTTCCTGGCACAAGTCTGGAGCCATATGGAGGAATATGGAGGGGAGTTTTCCTCAGAAGCAGCCAAAGTTAGATGTGTTACAAGGGCTCTGGAGGGAACAGCTGCAAAGTGGATGCTGACTTTGCATAATGATAATGCCCCTCAGCTGATGAATTATGACCTGTTCATGACTGCGCTGTGGGCCAGGTTTGAAGATCCACTTGCTGAACGTAAGGCCAGAATTAGAATGGAGACCATAAATCAGGGTTGGAGATCAGTGGCCAACTATACCCAGGAATTTAGAGAGCTGGCATGTCATATTCGAGGCTGGTCCCAGGGAGCCCTAATAGAAGCTTTTAAAGATGGGTTGAATGAAGATGTATATCAAAGCTGTATTGCCAGAAGAGACCCCAGTGAGCTGCAGCTGTGGTACGTGCTGACAGCAGAGGTAGAAATTGATCTGACCCAAAACAGACACCGGGGGGGGGGCCTTGGTTGGAGCAAGTCCTCCCCCACCAGCCCTCGAGAATCCTTAAAACCTCAAAAGGGAGGAATGGTGGCAAAACCCAAGACCACTGCATGCTTCCGATGTGGGAAGGAAGGTCACCGGGCTGCAGACTGCCATGCCAAGTTAGAGCCAAAGGGGGCACCAGGAGGAGGAAGAAAACCTGATAAACCCCCAGCAAAGCCTCGCGAAACGGTGCTTAAAGTGGAGGAGGTTGTAGAGATCGCCCCTCCGAAAGGAGAGGAGCTGGGAACTCCAACCTCTTCTGAAGAGAGTGAATCCGAATTGGAAGATGACTCACTGGTAAGTCCAAACAAGGGCCCTATAACCATTCCAGTGAGATTAAGGGTACCCACGTTGGGAGCCAAAGGGGAAATGCTGGCCTTGTTAGACTCTGGGTGCACAAGGTGCGTAATCAGCTTGGAGGTAGTAGAGAAAATGGGCTTAAGGCTAAAGACTTTAAAAATGCCCATAGCCTTTTGCCAACTGGATGGATCGGTAGCTGGGGGCGGCCCTGCACATTTCATAACAGAACCAGTAGAAATGACGATGGAGAAGCATAGAGAGACTTTGTGTTTTATTGTGGCTCTTCAGATGGAGCGCCCCCTAATACTGGGGTTGCCCTGGCTCCGGAAATGGAACCCCCATGTTGATTGGAGGAGGGGATCATTGTGCATACGTACTGACCAATGCCCAGAAGGGGAGGGCAATCTCAACCGAAACTCAAGAATCCCACTGAGCTGGCCTCCACTGGCACTGAGAGTCTGAAGGGGGAGGAGAAAATTCCAGAGGAATATTGGGACTTAAAGGAAGTATTCAGTGAAAAGGCCTCAGATGAGCTTCTGCCCCCATCGCTCAACAGATTGCAG